GTAATGACAATAAGTCTTATTTGTGTGGTGTTTTTTTGTTTGCTGTTTTTGTTGCTAACCTTTTTTTCCTGTTCCTAATAGGAAGAGAATCTGGTAACTGAGGAAACAGTAGCAGATTCTGAAGAAAGCCTAGAAGAACTCATGGCCAAAATGAGAAATATGTAGCAAAACAAATATCAAGTACAACCTTTGGGAGTTTGGATTGACACTGGATTTTGAGAAGACCAGAGTCTTTTCCCCTCCTCCTCCACTGAAACTTATCTTTACATTTCTGATGAAATGGAACTGTTACAGGGGCAAGAAGGAAACAGCCTTAGGTTGTTTATATTCTGTTGTCTACTCACATCTTTAACATATGGCATTGTGCTACTGTAAAATATTGCTCATCATTGCTAGTGTCCAGATATTCAGAGGTAAATAAAAGGAAATGGATAAAGTAACAAAAGCAGGCATAGCACATTATGTGCAATATTATGTGATGAGAACAGTACATAGTATAGGACATGTGAAAGATGAGATTGGCTGGAGCAGATTGAATAGGTCAAGGGCAGATGATTGTGCCCTTGATTTTCCAGGCACTTGTATTCATTGTTGTTCAGTGGTTTCTGTAAATTCTTGGCATGGATCGTGCTGTGGTTACTTTTTCCTGAGTAAACAGAACATTTCAGCCTCTTTATCCTCCTTACATATCTATGGGATGGAATTTTTTTAACTTCCCTGGTTTTATTAATGCTTTACTATTGCTTGTTCTTAAATAGCTGCCTATATGTTTTGGATGTGATAATGCTTTAAGTATGCTGCAACAAGGCCAAGTCTCTTGGTAGTAGATAATTATACTAAGAGACTGGGCATTAGCATGTCAGTTTCAGCTGGCAGATGCTTTTCATGACAAAATCTTTAAGAATTACCAGCAATGCTGGAAAGATCAGGAGATTTATCTATATCTTTGAAAATCTATTATATTTTTGTTGGTTATTAAAAGTTTAGCTGTAATTCTGACCCACCCTCATCATCCAGGCTATATTAAGGAATATAAGTAATCTGAGTTCACATAAAAAAAGCTTATAAAATTAAATGTTCTAAATTTTGTTTACTGTTGCAATTATCTTCAGGGGGGTAGCTGAGCTATTGTATTTGTCTTGTAAATAATGTTAGTACATTCATATTACCTTTAAGACATGATAATTTACACTGACTTGTAAATGTACACATGCTGTAGTGTCAGTACCCTGCAAAACTGGAAGTATCAATTTTAAATATTTTAACTACTCTGGGTGTCTGATCCAGAACCTGATCATTATTTACATTTGGCTTAGAAGAATGTAAATGTCAACCTGCGCAGTATAACACAAGTATTTCTGACTTGGGCTGTTCAAAAAACCTTTCCACAGCACGATACAGCCAACACAGAATGAGCCAGTAATGGTAGCAGCAGCATCCAACCAACATGTAAAAAAAGAAAGAAATATTGTGGAGGTGCTTCTGTTTCTTAGGGCAGCTGAATGAATACTTAGTTTAAAAATGTTTGATTTACAAAATTCAAAGTCTGTTTCTTCCACAGCTGACACTAGATTATATTATCTACATAAAAATAAACTCCAAAGCTAGTGAGGGAGGATTTGGGTGGGTTTTGTGTGTAGCATATTATACTGTAAAATGGAAGATGATTTATTTTTTCACAGAATCACAGAATGTTAGGGACTGGAAGGGACCTTGAAAGATCATCTAGACCAATCCCCCTGCTGGAGCAGGAACCTAAATGAGATCACACAGGAAGGCGTCCAGGCGGGTTTTGAATGACTCCAGAGACGGAGACTCCACAACCTCCCTGGGCAGCCTGTTCCAGTGCTCCATCACCCTCACTGTAAAGAAGTTTCTTCTCGTGTGTAAGCAGAACCTCCTGTGTTCCAGCTACACCCATTGCCCCTTGTCCTACCATTGGGCATCACTGAGAAGAGCCTGGCTCCATCCTCCTGACATTCGCCGTTTACATATTTATAAACATTAATGAGGTCTCCCCTCAGTCTCCTCTTCTCCAAGCTAATGAGACCCAGCTCCCTCAGCCTTTCCTCATAAGGGAGATGCTCCACTCCCTTCATCATCTTGGTGGCTCTGTGCTGGACTCTCTCCAGCAGTTCCCTGTCCTTCTTGAACTGTGGGGCCCAGAACTGGACACAATATTCCAGATGTGGCCTCATCAGGGCAGAGTAGAGGGGGAGGAGAACCTCTCTCGACCTACTAACCACACCCCTTCTAATGCACCCCAGGATGCCGTTGGCCTGGCCACGAGGGCACAGTGCTGGCTCATGGTCATCCTGCTGTCCACCAGGACTCCCAGATCCCTTTCCCCTACACTGCTCTCTAATAGATCATTCCCCAACCTATACTGGAGCCTGGGGTATGGAGTTCAGATTTGGAAAAAGCAGATTTGGGAAAGGAACTGCAAAGAGGGAAAGGAAGTAGAACAATGAGACCATTAAAAAGTACATACTTGAATCTGCATCACGAATCTACGCTAGCTTGATCCAAGTGTCAATCTAAGTGTTACTTACATTTCTTTGTGACTCTACCTTTCTGTTGGGAACAGTGGAGCCCACACCTGGCTCTGGAGATCCTGAGGCAAACAGTTGACTCACTTCTGCAGCAGCTCCATTAATCTTGGCTCTTAACTATTTGGCTGATATGGCTGCTATCACATGATTGACAGCTTTACAAGAGGCAACTGTTTCCCATTTTACTTCATCTACAGTTTTATGAGCAAGTCAATAGACTTTTTTGTATGTCCAGTGGCAGAGTACGCAAAATGGTTCTCCTGTGACTTTCAACTTATATATACAAGAAGAATTTGAAATAATTAGAAAATACTTGGAGAAGAGTCTTATGTGCCAATGGTTAAAATTATTTAAAAGTAAACAGCATCAAAAAAGCAGCCTTAGGGATCTTTTTTTAATTAAAAAGACATTTACAAGAATAATCTACTCTGACTATAAAACATAATGGAAAATGTACGAACTAACAAATTAAAGCATATTGCAATGGTTTAGTGCAGCTTTGTTTATTTGGCAGTCTTATAAAAGAAGCTTCCAGTTATTACAGTGTATCAAGAATGTTACTGAGATGTTGATACTCTGACTGTATGATTAAATCCCCACTGAAACTGCTGACACTGTGGTTTGAGGTGTTCTACACAGAAGTATTATTTGGCATGATGCACCAGAAATACAAATTCCTTTTTTTTTTTTTTAACGTCCATGAGGTACAACTACAAACACCTGAACAACTGTCTTAAGAGCACTATGACTATATCTGCATAAGCTTATGGCCAACATGCAGCCTGCAAGACCCTCCACTATTACTCGTGATCCTGGTTTACCTTCTGTGGAAAGTTTTCTTTGGGTTGATAGGGTAAGCATGTTGTTTCCTCACAGTCTTTGCTAATGGACCATGGATGGTTGGGATCTGCTACTTTTTAGGGACTGATTTTTCTTCCAAAAGCAATCATGCAACCTATGAGTAAACTGGAGAGATCAAGGGAAGAACAGTAACAATTCAGAATTGAAAATCACTAAATCGGAAAAGCCTGATGTAACATTGAAGGTCTAGAAAGTAGCTTCTTATTTAAGCTAGTGACATTAAGGAAGAATATTTAGGAGAGCAAGATGTATCATTATACCTCTTAAAATCAGAACAGAGGTGACAAGCTAGACCAGACAACTGATAATTCCTAACACTGGCTTTAGAGGAGGGAATTACCAGGTCTGAGAAGAGCAGGCAACAGAAACAAATACAAGCTGGGAAGGTTGAGGTTTCCAGGATTGTGTGTTGGGGTTTTCCTGTTGTTTTTTGTTTGTTTGTTTTGTTGTGTTTGGTTTTTTTTCTCCTTTCGCTCCTCTCCTTACTCTATAGCAATCCTGCAAAGAAGCTTTCTAATTTTCAAAACTTTTCAGGGTGGCTGGAATATCGTAGAAAAACTCTTGCTTTCATTAAAAAAACATTTTCTGAAGTAAGAGGAAAATACCCAGAGAGCTACTATAAAATGTGTCAACTCTTGTTGCTGTATTGTAATACCTTCAAGAGCCCTTTTTGATTTTTTTTTTCAACTAAATATTAAAAATAGAGTTACATATTTGTTCTATCATCAGTTTTATATACTGTTCTTTTTGCCAAGTTACAGCCTTACCAAAATACTGAATGTCTTCCAACCAGAACAAGGGCTAAAATGGAATTACACTTAATTCTAAAAGGGAAAAAATGCTATGGAAGGAAATTACCCCTTTGAGGTAAAGGCCAGTTGCATTTTTCAAACTGGATCAAATAAATCTAAAGATTTATCAGTTACCTCTGAAACATTACAGTGAGGTTTCAATTAGTTTTTCCCTTTCATTCAAATTAAAAAAAAAAAGTCTTTTTTTAGTATGCATTTAAATTGATTCATGGATTTATGCACCAAATGAGAACAGACTTTAAATTGGTTCTTCCAGATGACTAGGGTATTAAGAAACACAACAGTCAGGTAGATTTGATTAGCATCTCTTTATCTGATGGCAAACTATTTTGCATCACTAGGTTTTTCCAGCTAATACAAACATTCTTGTATTTTAAGGGATTCAAGGAGATTGAATTGTGAAAGCACCACTAAAGGGTTAGCAACAGGGAATCAGATCATAATCATCTTTGTTCTGATTCCCCACTGGAAGTATTTTTACTGAACACAGTTGAATCTGACAACAGCTTTAACTGTAGGTGATGATATATTTAGATACATCAGCTTCCCAAGGAAAGCAATTATTTTTGCACAAGTCCCTTGAATCTAAGTTTGCTGAAATCACCCTGCAGGTAAACCTTTGGGTGGAAGAGTATTTTGACTATTTCAAAATTATTGTCTCTTTAGAAACAACTTTAAAAGCTTCTGAAAAGCCAGAAAGGATTGATGAAACAAAAATACATAAATCATCTAAGCCAGACTATTACAACACAGAAATAAGAATTACCCCATAGAGTATATACAATTGGTTCAACTTGTGATCCTGGCCCTTAGGCTAAGAGGTAGCAAATCCACTTTTTTTTTTTTTGTATTAGCTATAACTTGAGCTATTAACTAATATGCATATCTATATGCAATGAAAGAAGCTTGCCTCGTCCATACAGTCTGCAGAGTTAACATGGAAGGATTTTAAGCTTAAACATTTGTTTCCCTGTCATTCATGAAGACAGGCGTCGGTCCCAAAATAGTACATTATCCTAGAAAAAACAGATTTTCTTAATAATTTTATGTCCATTTAAAAATAGGAATAGAGACTGCCTTTTATTTGAGCAGGTTTATGTCACCTTTGTCCATGTTCCAGGAAAATGTTTGGTGATAATGTGCTTTTTAAGCCGAATGTATCTCCACTCGATGAGTGTCGAGAAGTTGCTTTTCCACCAATCAACAAAGTCTCTGCTTCTTTTATTTCCATAGCTCTCTTGTAAAGTTCAGCTGCCTTCTCAAAGTCTCCCCCTTCATAGCTTTGGAGAAGAGTAAAACAATGTTGAAACAAGCAAATAAAACAAGTCTCTCAATTAATGTAAATTGAAATGCACACCATGCTATCAAAGTGTACTTACAGCTCTCTACTTTCCTCATAAGTATACAAGTCCAGGATGTTTTGTTTCATCCAGTAATTTTAATAGTAATTTGCTTTTATAGGGCTAAAACTTATAATCTTACCTTAGCACAGCCAAGTTTTTCAGAGTTTCCCCCACACGAGGATGCATGTGACCAAAGCTGTCTTCATAAATCTTTAATGCACGTTCATAAAGAGGTAAAGCTTCAATCTGCTTTTTCTTTGGATAGTAGAAAGTTGTTTGTTACAGACATATATTACATATGCTATTATTTTTTTCCAACACAGTATCAACATATCCTAGATACAAAATCATGCATATTTAACCAGAAAAGTGGTTTGAGTTCTCAATACCGTTGACAGATGAGGATGGTAATTGAGATTGTCAGAGCAACTGGCTCGCACTTGAAAATGCAACTCCCACTGATTTTATAATTGTTAGGGCCTGGGCTTCCTAGGCAGTTTTGAAAATCTCAGTCCTGAAAGTTTTGAGTTACCAAATGCTCTTTAATTTTACCCTCTTTAACTCTGATCCCTGTTTAGAATCAGATATGCAGATTGCAGAAATACAGAAACCAAGAAAACAATCTGCAGCTCACTCCCACTGATGCTAAGGAAGGAATTCAGCAAGTTGACAGCATCTCCTTTGAATCCCACATTAGTTGTAGACTAGAAAGTCCACAGCCTTCTCAGATTTTTAGTTACAGAGTTGCATTTGATCAAGGTGGGTGCTCCAGTCACAGACATGAATTTCAAAGGATTGTGTTTCCCTCTGAGTCAGTGGTGGAGCTGTGTTCCACCACACTGTGATAACCTGGGTATCACTGATAATGCTGTACTCCAAGCTCTAGTCTTATAAAGCACATGGGCATTTTGAATTATCTAAAGAGCGTTAGCCTGAGTGTCCTTGTGAAATACCAGTCACAGCAATTATCTGCTCCCTGCATACATTTTCCTTGCCAAATATCCTTTCAATTTTTAAAATGGACCCTAAGAATTTGCAAGTCTTATAAGGAATTTCCCTTTTAAATCTGATCAAGTTTCTTTGGTATCATTTAGGTAAAAATCATAAAAAAGTCTAAGACCGGAATAATAAACATGTAAGACATGAAAAACTTACCATCTGACAATAAAGGACAGCCAGATTCACCAAAGCAGTTGCTACGCTAGGGTGTTTTGGGCCAAATGACTTCTGTCGAATTTCAACCGCTAGTTCGTACAGAGGAACAGCCTTGTCAAGTTTCCCCTAGAAATAACAGGGAAAAAACTCTTCTCTTGTGTCAAAATGGTAACAGGAAAATCTGTTTTAAATAGAGAGCCCTGGAAAAGATGTAGCTGTTTCCAGAATAGGTGTTTACCTTTGGTTAATTCATAGTCATATTCTGCACAGACTGTTTATAATGAATATTTATCAAGACTTAATTTTCTAAAATACTGAGCATATTCAACTCCCAATTAATGCAATTCTCAGCTATGTCTATGTCTTTCCTTTTTAATTTACTTTTTTCCCCACAAATGTCTCATTGAGAAGGCTGTTAAAAACAATTTTCACTTGTACTTTTATCCAAATATTTTTCTCTATTTGTATTTCCTTCTCCTGCCATAAATGAGTAAAGAGCTTATTTTTTGTCCTAAAGGACCTAAATTTTACAGGTGATATGGGATCAGGAATGTAGCTGCCTTAACTTTTGAGCAGTTTGCTGCTTCCTGAAGTGGTGTTCGCACCATCTTCTTTGGAACAGCCACAGGGTCCAATGCCATTTCAAGTACCTGTTGCTTCCCATCCACCATACTGAGACTTTGGCTTCTTGACTTTGGTTTCTCTAAAATACCTCTCTCATATTCCAATTAGTTTTACTATAGATTATTTTTTCCAGTAAATCTGTTTTCCTCCAAACTTGAATTTGGTCACACATTAATTGGATATACTGCAGAAGTATATTTAGGCTTTTGTTATCAGAATATCAATTCTCATATTTAATAGCAATTAGAAATTAAATACTGCAAACTTCTGCTGTATAATGGTTCACTGTAATTGCAAAATTCAAATAAAATTTTTTCCTTACTTTTTTCAAAACATTACCATGCTACAGTTTGAAGACAATCAGTAATTCATCTGGAATAAAAACTTATCTATAAATAATTGTCATTTTCTACATCTGATTCCTGTCCCTTCTCTTCCTCCGCTCTTCTTTGCTCTTCCCTGTCTCATAGTTCACCATGAATTTTAAATTATGCCCCTTCAAACTAGCACAGAGCTGTTTGATGCAAATACTGAGTGCTTCTGCAGTTTCTAGCAGCATCAAAATTAGAAGCTGAAGAGAGCAGAGAATACGTGACCCTAAACAATTTCATGCATATAACAGCAGGTAACAATTATTGAACAAAAACACAGGAGCATTTGAACCAGGAGATTCTCCTCAAGGACTCTTTTTGAAGAATGGTAAAATGTGAAAAAAATTAAAGAAAAAAAATTCTTGTCATCCTCTGAATCTGATCTTGGTTCAACAGCTGGAAACCTTACATCACTTTTACACTGATGATACTGAATGGTTAGAATTACTATCTTCAAACACAAGTGTTCCTAAAACGTTTTGAAATGATGAAACACAGAAGTTTATACTACTGTTAATGGTATTCCCTGTAGTGCATTTCACAGGGGGGTAACTCATCTTTCACTGAATCAAAATAAGCTGGAGGTAGCTCAGCCAGATAGTTTATTTGTAGAGTCCTATCTCCCTCATGAGCCTTCAAGTTACTCTCAATTTGACTGTAAAGTTCGAGGTCATTGTGTAAAAAGAACTACTCCTACACCCTAAACCTTGATTTTTTTCATTAAAATACATCTGACCAAACTCTTGTATCTGGATGTCATATAGCAGACAGCAGAGAACTCAAATACAGCTGTGAAGAGCTTCCCTCACTGCAGCCAAAACACTAGTCTTTAACCAAATCAGAAGTCCTTCATGGGGAATACGAAGCATGCAGGACACTGAAGAAATTATTAATAAATAACTTTTCTTTAAGCAAACTGTGTTCTGAAAAGGCTACTGGGCTTTTTGGAAACTGACTAATGCCCCTTGACTATATCTTTTATGCATGTGTGTAGAACACCAAGAGCTGACAAAATTCCCATGTCCCAGCTCCTTTTGGATTGAAGACTGTAACAACACAAGGCATTACAGTTAATTTAGGCGATGAGAAAAGGTAACAGGCTTGTGCTTACCATCTTTTTGTACAGCACTGCCAGGTGTTTCCCTGTATAAGCCAAGGAGGGATGATCTGGAGCCAGTGCTCTCCTCCTGATGTCTAAAGCTTTCTCATAGAGTTCCTCTGCCTTGTCATAGTGTTTCTTCTCATTGTACAAGGCTGCCAGGTTGTTCAAAGACTGCGCACAGTCTGGGTGGTCGGGTCCCAGGACTCTCTCTCTCATTTCCAAGGAGCGCTTCAGGAAAAGCTCTGCTGTCCTACAGAACACATTTATTCAACAATATTTTAAAGCTGGTAACTTCTGTACAGGCTGAAGTGGCTGTTTGAAACAGAACAAACTCAGCCTGGGAAACTGCAGATAGTGACATTAGTAACGGAATTCCCTCAGAACAAGCAAATGCCAGATTAGCAATTCATTTATACAGTGAGGTGCTTTACATCCCAAACAGTCCTGCCATGCATGCTAACCATAAGAATGGAGACAGAGAGCTAGTTAATATATTCCTGTGCAAACTTGGAGCCACCTTGTAAAGGACTGAAATGCCAGTCTAGCAGATCTCAGCAAACATTACACTACCACAACATCAGCTTTTTTCTTTAATTCAACCTAGAACTTCAGTTAGGCAAGTAATGCTTCCTTACTCAAAACATTCTACTGACTTACGGGCAACTCCTCATAGCAGTCATGTAGCCCCATGGATAAAGAAGTAGTGGAACGCGAGGTAGAGGTTCAGAACACACCACCCATTTTTCAAATAACTTTAAAAAATATAAAACATACAGCACAGCTTTCATACCAAAGGGGAAAAGACCGAATGGGTTTTATGTATGTCATGAGCTAGAATCTCATAGTAGAATCTGTCTGGAAGTGACAAAGTAGAAAAGACTGTGTGTAATGCCACCACCCAAGCGTTTCCCTATCAAAAGGGCATAATTTAAATCACTAGAGTAGCATACTACTATTCCATGGCAGATTTACAGCAGCTCCTCTATCACAAACCATGGGTGATCCCCATATAATACTGGCAGCATCCACTATAACTAGGCAGTTTGTCACCCTGACATACACACAAATTCTGTGTGATGCTATTCCCAAGAGGTCAGCTTAGTAAATTGGAAAAAAGCACATTGCATCAGAGAAAAAAAAAAAAAAGACCATTTATACACAGAACTGTAGGTTCAATTCTGGAGCTCTTAGACAAGTGTCAAAAGGTGTTCACTCTATGTAAAGGCTAGAGGATGATGTGTGATATAACATCTAACAGCTAATGAAGTGACATAACCTTCTGTCACTGATTTCATTCTAATGGCATCAAATGATCAAAAAATTCTTGGACTTGCTGGTTTAGAACAGAGATGCAATATCCATTAAAAATGACTTACAACTTCACTAGAACAAAGTTTACACTTTTGTTCACCTGTGAAATAGCAGAGATACAGTTACTCTAGAAGTAGGTTGTGTTGGACAGGAGCTACACACAAATAATGTGGAACCTAAAGTGATCTTGTATGAGATTAGACCAGTATCGCTCCTCTATAACCAGTTACTTCACCGTGACTTCATGAGGGTAAACTGATGGAAAAACCCACATTTCCATCAACTATTTAAAATCAATTTCCTCACTGTAAAGGTCCTGCATGTAACAGAGATTCTGTGTGTAGATCCTAAATTACGATATATTTCTGTAGTTATCCAACAACTACTGGCGACATAAACATCAGATATAGGAAGAACATAGAAATATTTCTAGAACTTCCTTTGTGCTTTTTCGCTGTGCACTTTTTCTTCTCTGAAATGATTCAGTTTGGTACAGTGGGATTTAAGGTGACTTCACAATTCCCTCACAATACACAGTTTTAGACTACTCTGTGGACTGAAGAAGCTGACCTGAAGAGTGGCAAACCATGCAATCAGAACTGTTCTCCACCTTTTACTCCCCTTAACACCCCTGCTTATCTTTATCTGCCTTTAGAATACCTTAGTGCTGCTCTGTCCTCTTTTGCCCTTAAAAAGGCCAGCGGAGTAACAGCTTGAGGATTACAAGCACAGTGAATATTTAACTCATTATTGCTTGTAATACTGGCTTTTTGAGTGTTTTTCATAGAAAAACAACAAACCTGCTTTTCAAGGAAGAACAGTACAAAGGAGGGTCACAAAATAATGAAGCTGATTACAGGCAGCATAAATTTTGGAAGAGAACTGGTAACTGCAACAAAGGCTAGTTAAATTTAACTGTGGAACATCACATGTGAAGGCAGGAAATGCACTGATTTAGTAAATACATGTCAACAGCATCAACTCTAGAAAATGAGAGCGAATTTCACAGTAACCAAAAACCAGTTGAATGAATCAGAGATGGCACCATAGTGAATATTTGATCATGTGTCTACATTTCACACTAGTTCTCAATGCTTTGATTCCATTTAGACCTATGGCAGGACTCAGTGGATGTGTCACAATTAATGCAACTTACTCAAGGTTATTCTGCAGGTAATAGAGGACTCCGAGCTCATTGAGTGTTCGCGCATTATCTGGCGTATCCTTGCCTAACGTGAGCTCTTCCAGTTGCAGGGCTCTTTGACGCAGGAGAGCAAAGCCACACTACAGCAAAGCACAAGGTAATGTAAGCCAATTACATCACACAATTACATTGTGTAAGCCAAATGTACCATTACTTTTAAACCGTACAACTGAAGACAGAAAATTAGACGACTCTTTGGTGCCAAAGGAGCACAATAAGTGCTGTTTGCACTTCAAGTTCTGTTTGCAAGCTAAATGGAACATTTCACCAAACATGTTTCTAGGAAATTTAAGTTACTGTGCTGTCATACAGCTCTGTTTCCCCTGTATCATACATGATAATTTGATTAAACTCTGCAGTTTAAATAACCAATTCAGAGCAAACTATTAGGTTACTAAGATCAAAACTTGCTGGAGCAAGTTCCTGTCAGAACCTGTGGCCCGTGGAGAGAGGAGCCCACGCCAGAGCAGGTCTGCTGGCAGGACTTGTGACCCCATGAGGTAGGCCATAATGGAGCAGGTGGATGCCCAAAGGAGACTGTG